TTGGCTGCCAGCCAAGTTAAACTATCACACATAATCCAAAAGATCAGGTTACTTTTGTGGTTTTGGTAACACAAATATCTTTCCCCAAGCTGCAGAGCAGACAGGTGGAAGTCTTTCCACAGTTTTGTCTAGCAGTGTGATTGCAGGAGTGTTGAGATAAGGTGCTGACACTTGGTAGAGGGTGTAAGCCGGCAGAAGTGTTGGAAATTTACCTTGGTGTCCATATACATCCAAGTAAACACACAGAGGCAGAAGTTGTTTTTCAAAAATTGAAGGGTTTGTAAAATGTGCTGTTCACATGTACTTTCAAAGCACACTTACTCCACCTCCTGTACCTGTGAGTTTCTTTACTGATTTTTCTCTTTGTGGCATTCTCATGTGAGGGTGTGTGGGGGAGTGTCCTGGAACTGAGAGCGACTGAAGTAGCGAGCTGCAAGTATGTTTAGAGATAACACACACACACACAAGAAACTTAGTAAACAAGAAGTAACTTTCCTTTCTGCAGCACTAAGATTAAAATAGTGATTCTGTTAGCAATTTGAATTAAGTAAATATTGGGGTAGATTTGATTGAGACAGTGCCATTTTGTTACTTTCGAGTAATCTGAAATGCTACTTCAGTTGGTTTTGCACTTCCAAAGTAGAGAAACCTTTCAGAGTGTGAACTTGTACCTGTCTTTCTGGCGATTCTCAGCTACCAGCTAGTACTTCTTTAAAAATGAGCAGCCAATCAAAAAAACCCTATTGTATGTCTGTTCCATTTAAAAGGATTTTTTTTCAGTCTATTCATCACTTTCTTGTCTTTAATCTTTCAGATATACTATCCATAAAATAGACATAGCAAAAATTCCCTTTGTCTTTATATTGACTTTCTTACGACTTCTTTTCTTGCACTGCGATGATAGATCAAAACAGAATAATATATCTAGTCATTAGGGAGTTAAATAATAACCTGTGTTGTGACATTCGGTTATTGTCTTTGCAGGAGTCTATAGGCTTAATTTATTTAACAGCAGTGGTAATGCCTTAAATATCCTTTTGTTAATAATGAAGCTCACTTGACCAAAATAACTTCATATTAATAATTTCTCATCTGTCAAACTAACTGCATTGTTTATTCAATGTGGTTTTGAAAATATGATACACTGAATTTTGAAAAAACAGAAATTGCGAAATAAATTTTTCATAGCTGTTCTGGAATATTCTTTCTCCCAGCTAATCCCATGAGCATTTAAAAAATTCCTTGATAAGGTCTCCCACAGTTTGAGTACAGTAAAAGCTTTGTGTCTTTCAAGGGTGTGTGTGGTGGGGAGGTGGTAAGGAATGAGTGGCCAGATTAAGGAAATGTGTTTTGATTTCTGCTCTGCTGCTTGAAACATGCCTATATACTTAATATGTTTGGTCCTTTAAAAGCATCTGCTCGATGGAAACGCTTGAGTGAACTCAGTTATCTTTGAAGATGGAACAGGAGGTTTCTCATATCACTGCAATAATGAATAATTCCTTTACTGTGTGTATTTGCACACTAAGCTTCAGCTGTGATTTGCTGGTCTATAGCAGATAAACCTCCCAGCTCTTCATTTGCCCTTTGACATGCTCTGTGCGTTTAAGTAGTAGGATGTCAGTGAACGCTTTGCCCTTGTGTTGTATATATTGTGGATAGTGGAGGTATTTAAAAACAAATAGCAAAGCTGTCAGCAAATAGCAATTAGTAGAGAATGTTGTCAGTTGTCTTTCAGAGTGTTAAGTGTTGCTTCTCAGCTCTGTTTTTAGCTAGTCTTGTTGCTCTGAAACAGAGAAGCAGCATGAGTACAGCCAGGCACTTGTCTCAAAGCCACATCAGATCTCAGTAGTTACAGATCATACAGAATCAAGACTTAATAAACATAAAAAGAGTCTACAAACCTTTTAAGCTTTAAAATATTTTAAGCTGCCCAGTCAGCAAGATCAGTAAGTAAGAGAATGGTCATTCTGTAGTGTGCTAGTATTTAGACTGGGGAATTAGGCAGTTAAAACTTCCCCTTTTCTGTGCAATAAAATAGTGTTGAAAAACTACTGAGCTCTTTGTTAACACACATGCGAAAACTGGTGGTTAGACTGAGGATGATGAAAAAACTATTAAAAATGAGACCTACATTCCTTTGGAGCTGAGTGGCAGAAATAATTTTAAAAGTGTATCACTTGTTAAGAATGGTGTGGTGTGCTATCAAATGATTGTCTTGGCTAAGTGATTATGAAAGGCAAGGAAGCGTCTGCTTTAAATGTGGTGACTAGTCAGTTGTCTTTTTTACTCTTGGTGGGCTTAATTTTCCTTCCCCTGGTCATTCAGGGGGATTGGACTAGATGGCCTTTAAAGATCCCTTTCAATCCAACCTATTCTATGATTTCTTTCTTAACTGATGTATATTCTACTTCTGATAAAAAGAATTAATCCATTTCTTTTCAGTGTTCATTATAAATCCACTGAGAATGTTTTGCTGTTGATGTTTTTTTAAAAAAGGGTCTGTAGAACTGCAGGTACAGGCAGAGCTGAATGAGTCTCCAGGCTGGGCTTTATTTTGAAAGCTGCATTTCACTCTGTGTGCTTTTTTTAAACAAGATCCTGTAATCATTGAGGTGTTAATATTCATTTAACATTAGAGAATGTAGCAGAGTTGAGTAGTACTGCTTTTCCATGTCTAGGCTTTAGAAAGCTATTAATAATTAATACTTCAAGTATGTATGAAGTTGCACGTGGGGAAAATAAGGATGAGCGCTTTGAAGATCATAGGTGTTGAGCTGCCTTGGCAGGAGAAAGAAAAATTCTCCAGGCTGTTTCAAAATAAGTGTGTGCTTGTTAACAGGTGCTTCTTGGTAAAAGCAGTGGAAGTGATGTCCTAAAACTTCCCAAGCTGCTACCACAGAGAAGAGCCCGTCAGAGCACCATTGTATGCGCTCTGCCATCCAGCGGTGTAAAAGGAAACTGAACAGAAGTCACACTGATAAAAATTACCTATCCTGATATTCAAACTTACCAGAACAGATGCCAGGCAAAGGAAATGTATTCAGAAGATACACTGCACGTGCTGAGGTGCTGGGAAGAAAGCGTGAAGTGTAGAACTTCTCAGGAAATTCTGAAGGGCAGTCGGATTGTTTTTCCCAAGTTTCCTTTCCAATCTCCCAGCTACTATTGGTTGCGGAGAATGAGAGTTACCGAGGTGCATATGATGGCAATAAAAGAAAATCTTCTGTTCTCCGTTAATGAGGAAGAGAGATTTAATTTAAAGGAGTGTTTTGGGAGGAATACCTTAATTTGAGACGCTAAATATTTCACAGATCTCGTGAGTGAGAGATTGACCAAATATTTCTCTTTAAATGGGTTTCTTTAGCTACTGCTATATTTTTATCTTCTCCCTCTGATAATTTTTTCTTGACTGGGAGGGATAGTAAACAGGTTAAATGGTCATGCTATGGGGAAACAGAAAGTGAGAGATTCAGTGCACTTTTAACAATCTGTTTCTGATTTTGTTTCCTCTAGTTTTTTGGATGTTTTAATTAAAGTCAGGAACAGACACAATGATGTGGTTCCAACCATGGCGCAAGGGGTGATTGAATACAAGGAAAAATATGGCTTTGATCCATTTGTTAGCAGTAACATCCAGTACTTTCTAGATAGATTCTACACCAACCGCATCTCTTTCCGTATGCTTATTAACCAACACAGTAAGTAATTGCTTTTTTCATCTTTGAGAACTCATTAGTTAGTGCTTGTAAACCTGAAGCCATAGCTTTGTTTTGAATTTTTTTTTTAATACTGATGACTAATTCTTAATATTCTGTGCTAATTGTGGTAAAAGATATACTGGCAACAGGTTAATTTGGTACTTTGCAGTTATCAGAAATTAATCCAAACCACTAGTATGCTTTCTTCTAGAATTGTCACACTGTCAGCGTGGCTGTCACTTTTTCATTTTGTTGGCAGAGACAGCTTGCATAGTGATACATGAAGTATTTTTAGATATTAGTAGAGTGGCTGTATCTTTCTGCCCACACATCTCTCAAACATAGTTTGTAGAGCTGACATTTATTTCATAATGAAATGCAAGGATGCCGTAAATTTTGAAGAGCTTATGCACTATATTGATTTTTTAGCAAGTTATGTAGACTTTCTCGCCTTCTAAAGAGGTTGAGTGTTTCTAACAAGTTTTAAACTATATCCCTTGTCTCCCTCTGCTTCCTATTCACTATTTACAAATAAATGCTAGAATTACCCATCCTTTGTCATTAGATTCTGTTTCAGTTGCTGTTACTAATAAACTTACTTTTTTGTATTCATACTAGAGTGAAAGGAGTTACTTGCACAAGTCCTATTGACCAGTATGTGCAGCCATGCAGAAGGTGATCTGTATGAAATTAAGGACACTCTTGTGATGTCTTTTAGTGTATCTTGTACCTTTTAGCTCTAGAGCTTCATTCTCTGCCCAGTATTCTGCTTTTGTGAGCTCTTAGTGATGGTAGTACACCACAGATAAAGTGGATGCTAGAGTACTGTAGCATAAGGTATTTTACTACAAGTTGTGTGTCTTTCCAGAAACCTTTTGCCTGACGAGCAAATGCTTTGCTGTGTGTACACAAATAACTTCCATGTAGCAAAGCACATACAAGGAGAGAAATATGCAGCTTATTCTTTACTTGTACCTGGGCAGACAAGTGACAGACATAAAACCAAGTGAAGTTAAAAGGCTCTAATTGAAGAGTTCTAGCAATAAATAAATACATCATCCTAATAGAATTACTGGGCAAAGTATTAGCATAATTTGCACTAGTTCTGAAATATTAAACTTATTTAATTGAACTGAAGTGGCTCTTCCTATGGACACTCTTATTTAATTGGTTGAAACTTAAAATGACTTACAGATGCTTAAAGTTTAGTTAACCTTGTACAGTTTCTCTGTGCTAAGCAATGTTAGGGATCCATCTGTGATGGCAAATACTGATTTTCAAGCAAATGGCAAATACTGATGAAAAAGACAGTTGGAAAGCAGAATGCAGAAACAGGTTTTTATGTAGTTTGCATTTGTTTCATACATTATTGATAGACTGTTTCTTACAGTACAGTTCTGCGAGGTGCAGTGTCCCAGTGTATTAGCTCTGGAACCATCAACGGAATAGGAAAAGCTTTCGCATCTTGTCTTTTGCTCACCTGGTACTGCTTCTGTTTCATGTCAGAGCTGACTTAACTTGCTAAAACAGCAGAAAATCACTTCTGCAAAAAAGTGTAAAACCTTTCTACTTCTTTGAGAGCTAAACTCTCGGTGAAGGGTCTGGTGAGTGCCAGGCCCTTGTGCAAAGGAGGGAGTGGGGAGCAAACAGTTGAGAGTCAGGGAGAAAGTGGAGTGAGTGAGACCTCCGAGCCAGCTGTGAAATTGCAGCTGAGGTGAGAGTGTAAAAGGCTTTTAATGCTGTCTTACAGTTCCACAGTACTTTCTGCTCTAATGTTTTCATTATTGTGAGTGCTACTGTTCTGACATGATAGTATGAATGAAGCATTTGACGTTTTAGTTTTATCTAATTTTTGATAGTCCACCTTGAAATGTAAGTTTTCACCTTAATCCTCCCACATTACTATTTCTGTATTAACTAGTCTCAGCTATTAAAAATGAAAAAGGGAAAGGGGGGGAGGAGCAGGGAAAAAAGAGGAGCAGAGAGGCAAGTAGTCTTCCTAGACAAGGATTCTAGCAATTTGCTAAAGTATGTTTTTACAGATGATGCACTATCCAGTCAATTTCAGGTACCATCAGGTTTAAACTTTCTGGGCTACTTCAAGTGTAATACACAATTTACTGCCATTTCTTTTTTCCTTTTAGCACTTCTTTTTGGTGGAGATATTAATCCTGCTCATCCCAAACATATTGGAAGTATTGATCCTAATTGTAATGTGGCAGAAGTGGTTAAAGGTAAGATGAAGTTAATATTTTTGTTGATTTATAAAAACCTCAAGACTTAGGATATGCATAAATATGTTATTGAGATACAAAAGACTGAAGGTGATTTAAATTAATTTAATAAATAAATTTAAAAAAAGTTCTGCGGTTGCTCACAATAAAGCCATAGGCTTATCAAGATTTTCTAATGTCTTCATTATTGAGAATGGAGAAACTTTTGGTATGTTGACAGAACTAAGAAAAGTACTGAATTTTAAAAATAAATTTAATCTGTCCTTTTAAATATCAGATTAAGTATCTAAGTGTTTTGTTAAAATTTAGCTGTTTTCTTCCCTAAAATACTTAGAAGCAGGTTCTCATGTACAGCTTTTTTTATCTGATGCTGGAACTATAGAAAATTGATAGTAAGTGAAATTTTCCAATGTGTTTAGTAAGCTTTTCAGTAAAATGTCCTCAGTATGGATACTCCAATGAAACTCCCCATTACTATGTGCATCTGATCATATCACAGCCTGTTCTCTGTCATACCAAAGACATGTATGTGATGATTGTACCTGAATGAGCTGGCACAGTCACATTAGAAATCCTTTTTGCTTAACATTGTGAATGTTCATATGCTTGGCACGAGACAATGCTGTCTGCTTCAAGAACTTGTTTCTTGAAGGTTCACACTCTGGGTGTATCTATTTACAAATACAGGTCTTGCTTTAGGAATGAATGCCACCCTTCAGCCTTCACTGCTGTTTGTGCAGCTGTCAGAGGGGAAGAATGTGTTTCTCCCCTTCAGGTTCTCTCAGCCTTTGGTGAACTAAGAGGGAAACCTTTCTTAGGTCAGACTTTGACCTATGTGATAGCTTGCTTTGTAATGTAAATGCTTTTTACTGTTCTAAGGCTTCTCAGCTTCTAGCTCTTTCTGGCTCTAAGGTGGGCTTTTTTCATAGAATCATAGAATAGATTGGGTTGGAAAAGACCTCCAAGATCATCAAGTCCAACCCCTGATCCAACTCCAATTACTATATCATGGCACTAAGGGCCACGTCCAATCTCTTTTTAAAAACCTCCAGGGATGGTGAATCCACCACCTCTCTGGGCAGGCCGTTCCAGTGCCTGATTACCCTCTCTGTAAAGAATTTCTTCCTAACATCTAACCTAAACCTCCCCTGGCAGAGCTTGAGCACATGCCCCCTTGTCCTATTGTTGGTTGCCTGGGAGAAGAGACCAACCCCCACCTGGCTATAACCTCCCTTCAGGTAGTTGAAGAGAGTGATGAGGTCACCTCTAAGCCTTCTCTTCTCCAGACTAAACAACCCCAGCTCCCTCAGCCTCTCCTCATAGGACTTGTGCTCAAGTCCCTTCACCAGCCTTGTTGCTCTTCTCTGGACCCGCTCCAGCACCTCAATGTCCTTCCTGAACTGAGGGGCCCAGAGCTGAACACAGTACTCAAGGTGTGGCCTCACTAACGCAGAGTCCAGGGGAAGGATCACTTCCCTGCTCCTGCTGGCCACACTGTTCTTGATGCAGGCCAGGATGCCGTTGGCCTTCTTGGCCACCTGGGCACACTGCTGGCTCATGTTCAGCCTCCTGTCTATCAGCACCCCCAGATTTCAGCAGATTTCTTTTATTTTCTTTTGATTGATCTAACTCCACTTTGACCTCAGCGTTGTATATGTTACAGTTGTGTTATTTATTTGGATATTCCTTCTAATAGCAATGTTTGAATCTATTTTGATCATCAGATTCCTAGTTGCTGCCTTGGACAGAGGAGTGCATAGTGTCAGAAGGCGCTCAGTCCAGTTTTCAAGCCAGTAGCTAAAATAGATCTTCCACATCTGAAGAAATAATCACTAACAAAATGAGGGCATTGTAAACAGCATCCAGTGTTTCAAAGAAACGAAATGTCCTTAAAGACCTTCCTAGAGTCAAGGTGCTTGAGGCTATTTCTTTGTAGACTTGGTGGAGGGGTTAATTTGCATTCTGTATACTGTGCTAGCTCCAGAATGTTCTTCAGACAGCATTCTGAGCAATTTGTCAGAGTTAAGATGTTGATTTTGGCTCTGTATCTGGCAGCTACAGGCTCTATATGCCCTTCAAACATTGAAGAAATGACTTAAACAGCCACTTCTTACTTCAAGCAGCTCCACCAAGGGCTGTGTCTGTAACTGCCTGAGGTGGGTCTCTGTATGTCACTGACTGTCCTACAATAGGACTTTTGAGCTGACAGCAAATCCAGGCATGTTTCTGGAGCCAGGATTTTAGGTGTACTGATACTCCTGTTGCTGCTTAGTTCCAGACATGACGAGTGCTTTGAACTTTGCAGTCTCTTTTACAGTCTTAGGACTCTGCCAAAGAGTTGGCTTTTAGAGGAAGGTAAATGTGAGACTGCAGTCAGACTCTGTTTGACACAGTTCTGCTCAAGGCTGGATATTTTCCTGCATCATGAAATGATCATGCCTGTGTGTTCATCTCAAGGGTGTTAAGGTGGCGGCTACTTGAAAATGAATGAGAGTTCTAAGTTAAATTTAGGGAAGCTAAATTGATTTATTCAGAGCCTCTTTGTTCTCTCAGGTTTTGCATAGTGGCTGTGTTGGCTCCACATCTGTGTGTTGAGGGCTTTTGGTTTATTCCCACACAGTTACTGATTTGCTTTTTAGAGGCCTTAAAGTTTTTTTTCTCGGCAGTAAGAATCCAACTCCCACCCCCTGCATCCGTATCTAATTTTCACTTCTGTGATGTGGAAACTCTTTGAGATGTCTTAACGTATTCCTTTCTCCATGTAGATGACCTTTTGGTCATACTAGCTACATTGCTGTCTTCAGCTTTTGATGACTGAGTCAAGATTGTGGCTGTGCTTCTTATGCCTCTTTTCCTAAAGCATGGGGCTATTCCCAAGACCATCAGAAGTTCTGAGATGATCTCAGAATATCATGTAAGTGTAGGTATTCCTGCATCTTTTTTTCCTAAATTATACACATCCCAGGCTGAGCTTCTCTGTACAGCTTAGATATGAAATGGGATTTTGATCTTTTTACTAGGACGTGTTTCATTGTGTTAATGACAGGACCCTTTCAGAAAGTCTTTGGAGCTGACCATTGTGACACAAAAGATTCCTACTGGACAGCTGATTTTGTGAGGCGTTTCTGGGACTTGATCAAGAACATTTCCAGTGTTGATTAGCTCCATTTTAGTAGACTTCAAGCAGCATTTGTGTCAGCCTTGTGTGATGTGTCCAGCCTCGCAGATGTCAGAACAACTGATAGAAATTTTTTTTCAGATAACAGGGCACATGGTAGATTATTTCTGTAGACATCTTGAAGGAGGACAATTATAAGTAACCAGTCCTTTGTGGGGACTAGTGATTTTACTTTCTTTGCGCTTGTCACATGGCTCTGAGTCTTGGCAGTGACTGTTTTGTTTTGTAGTGTCACTTTGGACAGGAGGAAGAAAGTACACAGAGGCTGAGGTCAAATGCAGTTGTTATGGTATTTCTCTCTGATTCTCTGTGTCTGCAGAACTGCCGGTCTGTTTATGTGCTTGCTCATAGCCCACACTTGTTATGAGGAAGCCACTTTTGGTAAGGCAACTTAAGCAATGTAGTTAGAACATCTTTGAGTTTGTGGTTTCTCTTTAAGTGAACACTTGCTGCTTGTTTCTAAAATACTTTTGCAAATGAAGTACCAGTGAATATTTAGAACCACTAAGAAATCTTCCAAACAAAAGATGACTTAAACTTTCTTGATGTATTTTGACAACCCATAAAGCCTGAATTGGATTATGGCGAGGCTTTTTTTCTGTTTAGTAGGGGAAAAAAATGAAGATTCTTAGATTCCAGCTTTCCCCATGCAAAAGACCTTGAAAATCAAGCATTGTAAACAGTATTGTGTTTGGAAAAACTGAATTTATGGTTGCAGTGTCATTCTTTTTTAATTTGAGATGGAAAGAACAAGCATTAAATTGTGACTGGGACATGACAGATAAGTAGATATTATGGTCAGCCTGAGATTATACCCTTCTGGTTTTCAAGCCCTGAACAAGACAAAAACCAGTTTGTCTCTAGTAATCTGCTTTTGTTTGTAGAGCTTTAAATAGGGTTTGCCCTTTTTTCACAAATGGGCTATAAGCATATAGAGAAAAAGGGATTAGAATGGATACCAGCTCCATGCTTGTAAGCTAGTTACTAAAATGAGTGTTCTGCTTGTAGTCTTTCACGTACAGAATGAACTTTGTTAGTCATCACTAGATGGTTTTGATAAATTAGTGTTCTGTTGTTTTGTAGATGCTTATGAAACAGCTAAGATGTTATGTGAACAGTACTATCTGGTGGCACCTGATCTGGAAGTTGAAGAATTCAATGGTAACTGTGAAATTAATTTAAGTGATGTATGTAAGAAAAAACATTTCTAATAGCTGTGATTTATAGTTCTGTTAATTAATTGTAAGTTATAATTTGAACTCTGCAATCCTGTATGTGGAGGCACTTTTCTTCTTCCAATGTGTCTACATGAGCACCTGAATTATAGTTTGTCATCATGACATATTCTGGCTGCTGAATGCAGAGTGCTGTCTGCTGAATTTGCTATCATTTTAAGGAAAATAAAGTGGTCAAGAAACCTCATAACTGGGAAGGAAACACACCTCCTTTCTAACTAATCTTTTAATAGAGCTGAAATTTGTTCCTTTTTTAAGTATGCTTATAAATTCCACTGTCAGTCTCTGTACCAGTAGTGAGCTCTTCTGTGTAAGATGGCAAAATTAGAATTATTTTTACATAGTCTGTGCTTTAAGTCTTCTCATAAACTTCTCATGTGAAAATCTGTTTCAAGTTGATTGCAAAGATGAAAATTGGATGCTATGAAACTGATGAGATAGTCCTGATGATTTTTGTTCATAATTTCTATTGACAAAAGTTAGATTATTTTTTTACATTAAAAAAATAGCCTTGAGTGATTGTCTCACAAATTTTGGACAACTGTCCAAACATAAGACTAAGATGCTTCCAAACTTCAGCAGCAGAATTGAAAAAGTCTCAGAAATAGATAACACTCAAAATGGAGTGTGACATATGGGAATATATGTTGTTCAAAGTACTATTTAATATCGTAGAAATACTTCTCTACACAAAATGATATTATCAACACTGATGCGTTACTACCAGCCCCTTCCTGAAACCCCAAAGGACCTAAAATCCCTCCCCCTTCCAAAACTCAGTGATTTTAGTGCTAAAAGTACTGAGTGCTGCAACCGAGGAATCAGTGCAAAATTCATTTGAAGGCCAAAGTATAAAAAGATCCAACAGTAGAGAAAACAAGTTGCTGGATCTCATTTAAAAAAAAAAAAAAAAAAAAAAAGAGGAAAGAATTACTTGTTTCCTTTAAACCAGCTTATTATCTACATGAGGAAAGGGGCTTTGCAAATTACCTCCCAAGAGCACCAATAACACCTTTTCTATGTGTATGCTATGCCTCAAATGAATATGAATCAATCTGCCTTGCTTTTGGTGATGCATAAGTGAACTGGAGTATGGACTCTGACAAAATTAACATAATAAAACAGCAAGTTGCCTTGCAACTAATTATGCAGAGCATTGTTTTGGTCTTCTCCTTTTCCTAGGAGTTTTCACTACTGTATCTCTTAAAGTACTAACTGGTATTATTATCAGCACCAAAAAGGGTGACTTTGCCTCCAGTCACATTCTGTGTGCGTGTTTGTTTCTTGCTGCAATTTATGAAGCTGACATTTGGAGACTTTTCTTCAATCTGAACGGCTGCTGAGTCTGACAAGCTGTGGCTGTATAGTTTAATGCCAGTAGATATTTGCATGTTGAGGGCTGACTGCATCTTCAGCACCAAACTGTCCTGGAATGTATTAAATGCAGCTGTATTACTTCCTGCCAAATCAGTTATCACTCTAGCATTCAGAGCTGTGCCAAGCCATACACCTTTGCTGAAACACTAACAACAGGATGACAGTGGACAAACAATTCAGTTATGATTTGGAATAAGAAAACTGTGATATTGTTTGAAATATATTTTGAAAATTGTTATGAATATTTTCTATTGTGTATGTTTTAATTAAGGGAAAATGTGGTTGGTTTTAGAATATTTAAACAGTGAAATTTTTTTTAGTTTTTTAAGAATCTTTTTATGCAGCAAATATTATGCTTAAATATGTGTGTTAAGAAAAATAAAGTTTCCTACTTAAGTGGGAAAGTTCTCCTAGTTAACATACATTGTCAATATGAAACCAGCCACTGCTTAGAGAAGTTTCATATCTAAACAAAGTCTGCTGACTTAGATGTCTTTGAAAATCATCATTAGAATGTGTTATTTCAGGTGATAGCAGTAACTGAAATTTATTGTTTTACTTGATGGAGCTAATCTTGCACATGGAAAATTAGAACATGCTTACATAATTGTCTTTGCTTACAGTTGCATGTTATTCCTGTAAACAGAAATGCTACCAAATGCTGTTTTTGAAAAAAAAAAAAAAAAAAAAAGTAATTTGTCCTTTTTATTTTTAGCTAAAGCTCCCAACAAGCCTATTCAAGTTGTCTATGTACCTTCTCATTTGTTTCACATGTTATTTGAATTATTCAAGGTAGGTTGCACTTGTTAATATTTGGAAGGGTTTTGTGAACTTACATTACTGTTGAAATTGAGATTCTTTTCAGTTACAGCTCTTGAATGTTATTCCATGAAACGTTATTTCAGTTTTCCTTAAGCTTATTCTTAAACAAGTGAAGAGGGTTTGAAACTGTTAAAAGCTAGGCTTGCAGCCCTCTCTTATGCCCTTGTATACTTAAAAAAATTTCTGTTTTCCCTCTTCTACTTTTGTGCTTTTGCAGCTGATTAACTTAAAACAGTCACGAGAGTCTTTTTTGCAATGGTGACATATTCATTACTTTGCAGTTTTCATAAGCTTGTTTCTTTATTGCCTATTTGAGGAATGTATAGGGCCAGTGTCTTTTGTTTATTGTGAAAACAGCCCATATGCCTTTGAATAGCGTAAATGACATGCTTTGTTCTGGTTTTATTTGTGTTTTCTGAATAATTGGAGCAACACTGAAAGTGGAACATGTGAGAGCTATTGTATGCTTTCAAATAAGATAGCTGGTCTCTAGGTGGTGCAATTGAACACTAGAAATTCAGGGGGAAAATGCATTTGATTGGAGAGAAACTTTTCCTAAATAGTGGTATTTTGGGTTTGATTTCTGGCATTCGTCAAGTATGTTCATTTAAATCTTCCCCTATTTTGCCGTTTGTAACATTAGTTCTAGGGCAGAACGGGTGAGAATTTGTACATTACTTTTAGGTACGTTTTGGTACAAGTCATGAAAGAGTATGAAACCAGTAAGTTTTAGCTGTAAGTAATGGTAATGACAGACTGGCAGTGGAAGCTCTGTTAATAAGTATGATAGTCAGATTAGTAGATGTTAACTTTGAACAATTATGTGACCCAGGCTGAGAAAATCAAAGCTTGTTCTCTGTGGTGAACATCACTGCTGGTGTTCTGCAAGGTGAAGGATCTTGTTATCTTTCACATGGAGTTACTTGATTTCACACGAAATCTTGCTTTATGTTCTCTGATTCTATATCAAATAGATAAAAATATGTATAATGGAGTTCTGATGTAAAAGTTTAACTGGACAGTTCATTGACTTAAAAGCACTTGAATTTGTTTTAAATATGGCCTTTTCTGTCTTTTATACAAATGTAGGACAAGGTATCTAGATTCAACAAAATATATGCAAGCTCTAAGTTGTCACAAAAAGCATGTTTAGTAAAATTAGAATCAGAGACACTGGTTTTTCTTTTGTCTTCAGAATTCAATGAGGGCTACAGTGGAATTGCATGAAGGTAAGAGAGAAGGCTATCCATCGATCAAAACCTTAGTCACTCTGGGGAAAGAAGATCTATCTATTAAGGTAAATGCCTGAAAATAATATGAAGCTTACATACCTGATAGCTTTAGAATAGCATGACTTGTAATTTGAAATGGCAAATTAATTACTGTATCACTTCTGACATTTGCTTCATATTCATTAGAATAGAATATTTTCAGTTGAAAGGGACATACAATGATCATGTAGTTCAACTGCCAGACCACTTCAGGGCTGACCAAAAGTTCAAGCATGTTATTAAGGGCCTTGTCCAAATGCCTCTTAAACACTGACAGGCTTGGGGCATCGACCACCTCTCTGGGAAGCCTGTTCCAGGGTTTGACCACTCTCTTGGTAAAGAAATGCTTCCTAATGTCCAGTCTGAACCCCTCCTTAGGCAGCTCTGAACTATTCCCACATGTACTATTACTGGATACCAGGGAGAAGAGATCAGCACCTCTCTCTCCACTTCCCCTCCTCAGGAAGCTGTAGAGCACGATGAAGTCACCCTTCAGCCTCCTTTTCTCCAAGCTAGACAAACCCAGAGTCCTTAGCTGCTCCTTTAATATTTCTAAAGTCATTTAGTTAATGCTGCTTGAATTTTGCAGGGTTTTTTTCAGAACATAATGTTTAAAACTCTTAACTTTTCATTCCTCAGATAAGTGATCAAGGTGGAGGTGTACCTTTAAGAAAAATAGACAGATTGTTTAACTACATGTACTCAACGGCACCCAGGCCTAGTTTGGAGCCCTCAAGAGCTGTGCCTTTGGTAAGGAATCGCAATATGTATTGAAATGTCCCTTTGCAGTACTCTGGTTGTACGTTTCCCTGCACTGAGATCTACTGGATCAGTTTTTCCATTGAAGAAATTGTTTATCATTAGCAATTCTATGCAAGTAAAACGTATCAGGAGAAAATGGTTCTGTTACTACCACTTAATCTTTGGAACAGAAAATTGCTTTTCTTTGTCTTGACATGATATACTTGGAAACAAGCATGTCTGCGTAAGCACAGTATTTTCACAGGTTAATGGACAGGATTTTTAGTGCTGTATTACTGAGAAGGTGGATAACCTAATGAGCTCCTCTTTGGTGTGTAAATTACCGTTTATCTAAGTTTCCTATAAAAAATGTATTGAAAGGTAAGCCACACTGTCAGAATTGTAGCACTTGAGAAACACCTCCTGGTGATGCATAAGCTTATATTGAACTTCAAAAATTATTTTTATATAAGTTACAGACTCTAAAAACACATTTTTCTAAAAAATAAATTCCCAAACCTGCATGTCATATAAACACCTTTGGTATATTTTTGTTCAGTTGGAATTACCTCACATGATATTCCTTTCTGAGATATATTGGGGTGAGATTTCAAACAAAGTATCCCCATAGTTTCTTCTAAACAGGGAATTATTTCAGTGTTGAATGCATAGATTCTTTTAGCAAGCATGATTTTTAAAATTATTATTAAAATTAAATTATTTCTAATTTATTTTATTAAATTACATATTGTCTCATTGTGATAAAAATGATACAGGTATTGTTCTATTTGGCTGGCTTTCAGTAAGTGAATTAATACTGATACTGTGTTCTTGCCTCTTCTCATCTTCGTGTTCTGTTGCTTCTGATGCAATCATTTATAATCAAGCATGTCAAGAAAAAGTTGTTTCTCTGAGAAATTTTCTTTCGCTATTTGTGAACACTCTCATCTAGCATGTTCTTAAGTTGGGGGGTTTGGTTTTTTTCTATTCTGATACTTATGTGCTTGAAGTGCCTTCAGGCAGCTAATAAAATGTGCTGCAGAGAGTATGTGATTATTTCTGGTATAAAATAATTAACAGTGAACTGAAGGTGAAAGCAGTTCAGAGATAATAAATTTCCTTTTAGATTTTTAGCAGAAAGTCTGTATGGTGCTGTCGTAGTCCACAGTTCATACCATTGTGACATGTAAGTGTGTTGCGTTGTTTTCACCAGTGTTTGATGCCACTGCGGTAGGTGTGAAACCCAGTTCTGTATCTCCATGGACTTGACAGCTCCTACCTCTACAACACATCTTAGTAATATGTTTCAAACTTTTGCTTTTTTCATAGCAAATCATCTTGAATTGGATAAGTGATAGGGGACAGGCCTCAATTCACATATAAACTTTTTTCTTTATGTTAAGAATTATAGAATCTTTCCTGATTCATAATCTGCCTTTGTTCTGTCTCACTTTTGATCAGCAATTTACTGTATCAACCTACAAGGATTTCCTGAAACTTGTTCTCACGATAAACTTCTACCTTGATTACCAGCTGTATTCACTGTTACAATGTCTCTGCCTTTGTGGCTCTCTGATTGTAAAACGTGTTCATTTTGGGATTGACACCATTCTTCCCCCTGCCCCGTGCATCTTTAGCAATGCGTTCCTGTGTTTATTTCCTCATCTTCAAGACTGCTTACTTTGATTTTGTAGCATTTATACTTAGTATTCTTCTACTGTGCCCCATTTTCAGGCCTTGTTTTCCTCTTCAGTCTGCATGTCAGTGTAGTCAGACCTGCAGAGTATCCCCTTCTCCTGTGAACCTGGCAGCTTTTGCCCTGTCAGTCTGACCGATGCCTGTACCTGACTGAATGTCAAGGAGAGTTGTTAAGCTGTTATTTATATGTGTGTGCAGAAAGAAAAAAGTTAGGAACAGGGAGTCTGTGATGTGTCTTTCCACTAAGAGGAGAAAGGACTTGGCAGTGAAGCTTGACACGTTACGTGTTACCGCCCAGATCCAGTAATAAAAAAATTACGCGATGCTTTGTATGTCAGTCTAGAAATAAAAATCCTTCAGCAGAAAGGTTCTACATAAATCCTCTTTGAAGTCCATACAAAAGGAGAGTTTCTTTATTGCTTAGTGCCAAAGACCAAACCACTTAAGAATTATGGTGCTAAAAAGGTAGGTAGATAGGTCCGTGCTTCTGTCATTCTAGACTTAGATAATATTCTAAACTAAATTGCAGTGCAGTGTAAATAGACATATTTTTCTGTTCTAACACTCCCTCCCCTTGTTGTATGATCCCCTGTCTAGTTTATGAAACATTCATGGACTTGGGGAGTGGAAAAAGGGATCTTTTTGTTCATTGGTAAAAATTCTTTCTCAGTGTCAATTGCAAATGTTGTTTAGAAACTGCTGAGAAACCTTGTTACCATGGCAGCATTCAGATTCTAGCAGGTCTTGTGTTCATCTGCAGCGCTATACACAGAGTGGAAATGTTAGAAACACATGGTAATGTTTTCATGATAATTAGGTTTTCTTAGAGAATTTTATGATTCTCTCTCTGACAGCATTTGTTTATAGTGGGAGAAACGTGGCTTGAATTAGGTTTAATTAAAACTGTAGACACTAATAACACAGAAATTTTATAATTTCCTATTTGTACAATGCATACTGTAATATTTAATGGGAGATTGACTCTAAAAAGCTTTCTCTTCTCAAGGCAGATGTTCCATCATTGACAATATTGTCCCCTAGGTCAAGCACAGACGTATGTAGTAATCACTTCTTCTTAATTGTCTTTTGCAAAATAGACCTTTTGCAAGGTCTTGCCTTAACAAGGTGCTTAGCTGGGATCTGTTGTCTTCATATTTCTTGTTAAGTTGTCTGTTTTTTGGAAAATATCCTGAAAACAATGTAGAGGAGAGTAATAGGAAATTTTTGGAAGAGGGAAGTATGAAATAATTATGTGGGCTAGCACAGAGCATAAAAAGATTTTCCTGGAAGGAGCAGGAGGCAAACAGAAGTTGGGTGTGGGTTTTAAGGAGGCATAATTCTGGAGAGAGGAAAGTATAATGTGTGTTCAGGATTGCTTGAGACTGCCCTTTACTTGAGTTGTTCCTGGGGGTATGTACTGCCAACAATTTGCCTTTCAGTCGCTGTGCTTTTTAATTTCTGTAATGTATTTATTGTCTGGTCTCCAGAAAAGATGCAGGTCAGCTTTGAGAATTTTTTTTTTTTAATTCTTTCAAAAAACCTCCAGTTTTTAAAGATTAAGAAAGAAATGCATCTAGTTTCGAGACCAGATGTTTGAAAGTGGTGCATGTGTCTCTAATGGGAGTCTTTGAGAATGACGTTTTTAAAGCATACTATTGCTTGAAAAAGTGCAGCTAAACAACTATTTTAACTGTGGAGATGGGTGCTGATAACGATGACAAGCAGTGTGAGTAGAAAAGGGCATCTTTGGCATTTCTGTTTCTCATTTTGCTCAGAAGAACTATTGCAGTCATCAGTGTGAGCAACTCTAACCAATTTAACATCACTAAATTTAGACTTCTGTAAAAAAGGCAAAGAGGTGAAAAGATCCTGTAGAGATGGTAGGTGACAGTGAGAGAATTTGTGACGGGTACTGTAGTATAAAGTTATTTAATGTCTATTCCTCCCTCAAGGGATTTTTTTAAAAAGTCATACCACGTATTAGCTGTGTATTGTACTCACAAGTACTGCTTCTTAGCCTTCTCTTTTTTTTTTTGTATCATTCTGGAGCTTAGTTTTTAAGATTCAGGGCATGATTCTCAGTATCTGTCAGGTTGCCTTTGTAGAAATATCATAATGGAATGAGTTTATTGGTTTTCTGAAAAGTTTAGGTGTCTTTAATTCTTGTTGTAATCCACCTTTATGGAAAAATTGTATTACACCATTGTCTTATATATCCTTATTTTCAAATGCTTCTATGTCTAGTGTCCTTCCTTTTTTGCTCTGAATAGTCCTGAAAAATTCAGAAGGGGGTCAGGTGAATAATCAACCACTGTGGCTCTCAACACATACCCAGTCGTCTAGATGTGACGTGTAGACCAAAGTCTTACTCCCTGGCTGCAGCAAGAGAGGGGTTTTTATAACTTTTTCTGACAAGAATGGGTTGGAAAAGGGGCCAAGTGCTGACCTTGTGGTTATGTATATTAGTGTTGTACACTTAAAATCTAAAATTTGTACCTGTCACGTCTATTGCCCTTTGAAAATTGTGTGGTCTGTACAGAGCGTCAGTCCTCAGGAGATCATTCAGTGCAGCGGAATCCTGATCTTTTGGTAGATCAGTTAACAACAGCAGAGTTTATTTGCCTTGTGTTGCTTTGTATGGAGTCTTCTGCAATAGTCTTCTGATCTCTATTGCAGCATGGGATCAGCAATCACTTAATAGTGTGACCTAGATGAAGTAAACAGAGTTATCTCTGGCTTTCTTGTTCAGAGAATAACAATCCCAGGTTTGGGAGTATCGGTTTGCTTTGATGATTGGAGGCAGCATGTACTGTATGATACATCTGCCTGCCTCTCTGAGAAAATGCAAAATGGACAAGGTAGTCCTAAAAAAGGACTCTGATATTTTTCTCTTTTCTGTGCTTGAGCTGAAAAATTATGCCTTGGAAAAAAGGAGATTATTCAAAAGGTTGAATACCAGTTTACAATGCAGGCTGAGTAATGAAGGAAAGCTTGAAGAGGAATTTGATGCAAATCTAGTATTTGTATATCTTCTGTTTTATAAGTGATTGGAGTGATCTGTTGCATTGTTTTAAATTCCCACCATGTTTTTCCTTTGTTTTCTTATTTTTGTAGGCTGGGTTTGGCTATGGCTTGCCAATTTCTCGTCTGTATGCTAGGTACTTCCAAGGTGACCTTAAGCTCTACTCAATGGAAGGCGTTGGTTCAGATGCTGTAATTTATTTGAAGGTATGAATTTGACCCTTTTATAAGCTAGTAATGCAGTGCAGTTTGATAGTTTGTAGCAGGCTGAATAAGTGAACTTCTCTCTTTTCACTCTTTGACTTGTTTTCAAATCTGTAATTGCTGTCTGTGTTATATTTTATCTAAATCAGTTACACAGAATCCTAAAAGCAGAGGTTATAAATGTTAACCTGGCACTAATACTACTAGCTTGCTTTGATGATTTTTTTCCCCACAGTTCCCTATGTTGGATCTTCACATTTGTTAAGCTGTCATAAATGCTGAGTTTTCAAAGAACTGTATTATGAGATATAATTTTGGTTAATACTTTTTGACTCTGAAAGTTTTGATGAAAATAAATCTGGGAAGACGACTGACTGAGTCCTGACTAGGACTTCCCTCCCCCCCCCCATGCAGTTCTTGACTTTTGTATTGATCCTGTTGTCATTTTTGGGAGATCCCAGGCTACTCAAAGGCTTAAGGTTGAAACTTAACTGCTTGAATTCCATCAGGGATTTTAAAAGAAAATAGTGTATAACTCATGTGGAGGTTATTGACGTAGTGTTGTCTCTGTGCCTTGCTGTTTGTGGCGAGTGAGTTGTGCTAACTGTGCTGACGTCAGTTCCTGATGGGTTTAATCCTGTGCACGTACGTGTGGAGAGAAAAGGTACGGTCTTTTTCAGAGGAAAAAGGCATGCTAAGGGACTGACCTAGATCAGTCCTCACAGATCAGTGTGCTGACAGAGTCCGAGTTTGTTGAACTGAAATGGTTAAGTAGTAGCTGTCTGCCCTTTTTTCTTGCTCTCTTTGTAGGCGTCACTCTCTGAAAAGAAGAGAAATATTTTAGTGTTGTTATTTTCTTTTTCACTTTTACTATGACTAGCACAATGATTAGTCACAGCCAAAGTATTTTCAAAATAGTGTTGTGACATGGATAATTGAGATACTTGTTTGATATGGAAGTTGTAACTGTTGAACTCCCCAGAGTATTAATCATCTCGCTCTTGGTATCTCTAACGATATCTTTTACCGTTGCTTTTGTTTTCCTGTAGGCCCTTTCAAGTGAATCATTTGAAAGACTTCCTGTTTTTAATAAATCAGCATGGCGACACTACAAGACCACACCTGAAGCAGATGACTGGAGCAATCCTAGCAGTGAACCAAGGGATGCTTCTAAATATAAAGCTAATCGATAATTTGCCACCTTTTGTCTCTGTTGGAGATGACCTCTGCATTCAGTATAAAGTCTCTGCTTTGTTCCAAAATCCTTCAAACCACAATAGCTAATTACTTCCAAACAAAGACCTAATCAGGGCATTGAAAAATAGTAAGAACAAAGTGATGATTGGGACTTAAAGGAAGGCACTGAGCACGTTTGGTATGTGAATCCTGTCTACTTCACCAGAATATGCTTGGTTGCTTCAGTCATGCATTGACAAAAGGGATTGCACTGTGATTGCACTAAGGAGTACAATGTTGTAACAGAAAGATACTATTTGAAATGGCCAATTTTTATTCCAGTGTAAGGATTGGCAAGATGTGCAGAATCCCTTTAAATGGTGAATAGTATCTTGCACAGCAATATGGCATAAGAGAAAAATTCTAATGTAGTTAAACATATGCTTTGAAAATCCACTGTTTGCTGCATTTTATATTGCCCAGTGTCACCTCTTACAGAAAATCCCTTTGAGCTCTTCAGATTTTGTATCTAATGAGCTTATCAATGCATAGTACTAAAAAGGGTTGTGCAGCTTTAAACTGATGCTTTCCCCAGATTCTCAAACCCATTTGTCAAGTGCATACAAAAATTATGTTGTTTATAAGACATTGGGATTTCCACTTCTTGGTAGGCACCTTAGTGATTTTCTTGACATGCAACCACAGAAATGCATTTCTATACATTTTTCCTTGTTTTCAGGAAAGATCATAAGTAGTTAGATCATTTCTCCATACAATAAATTTGTCAGTAGAGGGGCAAGGGGTAATTCAATTTCATGTTTATTGCCTATGATTTTTGGGGGGTTGGGGAGGGGAGAGAAATGCTGAAAGGCCAGACAGCCAGTCATATAAATGAATTTGCCTTAAGAGTGTTGGTTGCTTGGAACCTGATTAGTTTAAGACCTGTAAATAGTTTGCAAAGTTATTTATATATTCAATGTCTGACTATAGTCCGGTAATCTGAATTTGTAGTGTATATAAAGACGTTGTACACCAGCTTTTGGAAAGTGTCTTTGGTCTAAATCCGTGAAACTGGAAATATCATAGAAATGGGAGGGACAAAACATAGCTGGTACCTGATTTAAGGAAAAAAAAAAAAATCAAAGAAAAAAAGCTAAGTGTTTTCCCCTTAAGTTTGTTGTAAGGGTTACTGCTGGGTATTAGGAAACTGTTCTTCACCAAATCTTTGCCAAATACTGTTTCTGATACTATGGCCTTTCAGAAAAATAATGTGAGGATTAGAAGTTAAGGTGATACCCTAGCCATGGGAATAAAGTAGATGAGGAGTAAGCAGCTCTGATGCACCCTCACTTTCTCTTAGGGGTTTTGATTATTTTTTTTTTTTTAAGATACTGCAGATTTTAAGGCAGAAAAATGAAACTTGTTTACTAAAATTGGGGAGGAATCCTTCCCTTTTGTCCTCACTATATTTATTTTTATAAAGAACTGCTCTGTTAGGTAAACAGGGAAATGCTGAGAAATTCCTAGATATTTTATTAAAAAAATCTTAGTTTGACTTAACAACAGTACTTTGCACTTTCATAGCACATTTAATCAGAGGATTACAAAGTGCTTTGAGCAATAAGCTTCATACAGCCCCATTTCTGAGGAGCTGGAGTCCTTACCTTGCAAGCCCTTACTCTTACTTGTTACAGTCAGTTCAAGAACGTGTATGTGAATAGTTTGAGTTTGCAGGGCTTGAGGTTTTGTGGGCTTCTCTACGCTGTACAGATGAGTCTCATGTTGGAGCACCAGGTTGTTTTAATGCCCTCATGCACGCCTCTGTGGAGCGCTGCCGTGCTGTTCAGCGGTGGAGATACCAGGACGGCTGCTGAAGAGACTCTAACGTGTTACCTGGCGAGCGGTGGGTGCCCTTTGGAGCCCCCTCTGCAGCAGGTAGGAAGAGGGAGTGTGCTGGTGGGGCCGTCTTCTTCTTTTCCTGAACCATTTGACCCTGGCCAGGAGATCTTTAGGCGGCACAGTGAGGGTGTAATGTGTGTGGCCTCCAGAGCAATAATTTCCCACGGCTGCAGGCGCTGCTGCAGAGAAGGCAAATTGCTATTGAAGCGATACAGCTGTGCTGCTGGGTGAAATCAGAGTAATAGTTTGACTGAAACACCACTTGGGAGTCACATCTACTAAAATTTACTCACTTAACTTCTGCCCTCACCCATAACTTCTTACTGTTTTTTAAATTAATTTGTCTATGTTGTCTAGTAATCACAGAGGAGGGCTTGCTTAAAACCAGAAATTTGTGATGAAACTAGTATTTTCCAGTTGCTTGTGGTCAGTTTTTCAGGGAGCGTTACCTACAACATTCCAAGGAATAAGAATGTTTGTGTAAGAAGCCGAGTTTCAGCTTTTGTTAGAAATAGTATTTCCAAGTAATAAATCCTGACATGGTGATTCCTTTTGGCTGTCTCCTTATGCACGAAGAGGAGAGAACAGAAAGAAAAGAAGGGAGGCAGGCACGTAGAACTTGTTTTCATGAAGTGAATATAAACCGTGGAAGCCAGTGAATTAAAGCTGAAGATGCTGTGGAGGATGTTATGATATATTAGTAATTTAAATGCTTTATTCACAAAAACAACTGGCTGGCATTCAGGACTGAAGTGCTCTAGTACTTGGAAACTGGAGTCCCCTGAAGTGGCACCTGTTTCCCAGAATCCTGAGCACATACGAACAGCTCCAGGCAGGAAGGCAGAGCACGAGGAATGCTTTTCCCTTCCATTTCCCAAGGTCTGCTCCTGCGCATTACAGTCAGTATGAGCGAGAAGCAACTTCTCCTCTCCAGCCTTGGCTGGGCAGCAGCCTGTGCTGTGGTGGAGATCCCAGGTATGCCATAAATTGTTCTTCACTCATTGTCCTCATGCCGTGTTTCTACCTAGGGGTATTAGTCTGAAAACTGTCTTAGGAAACAGCAGCAGCAGCAGGCTTTGGGTTAGGGGAGAGGTTTTCAGTGGGTATCCCTGAAAAATGCGGGTGGATGGGTTTTTAATATGGCTAGTTTTAACTACAGATACTGACCTTTTTTCAGTTACTTTACCTTTGGTTGGAGTCTGTTATAGCTATTTGTTTTAATGTCTTTGGTCTATTAATTACAAACCTTCTGATGATATAAAAGTATATTTCTTTTTTATGGATTTCAGATGTATGGCCTGCTAATGTTACTGCAACCTGCTTGTCTTGAGTTACAGGACACATAAATAGAAAAAAATGTTTTCAGTGAAAATGCTTCGTATCTGTTGTGTTTAGTGATTAACAGAAACAAACTGAGCAAGAGATGTTTGCTTCTCAATTATTCCTGAGAATTTACAAACAACTTCCATGTGTTGTAGTGTGACAGATAGTTTAGCTGTTTTGTCTCAGGTGCATTTTTCTGGTGTATGTCTCGAATATAATCTGTTAATTCCCTGCCTAGTTTAATATAGGCACTGAAGTCTCTCCAAATCTTATACGTATTTGTGCTACCTGCTTTTCTAGGCTTTGTTTTGAGGCTAACAAGGTGTCCTTCGGAGTCAGCACTAAGTGAGAAGTAGTTGGAAGATACCGAAATGCTGCTTTTACAACTGAAATGCGCAGTGTTTGCCTCTGCACTTGACTGTGGTGACCCAGGGTAGTACTGAGAAAGTCTTTGTCCTGCTGCGGTTTGCGCTACCGCTTGAGCAGTGCTTAAAGCAAGTCCCTTGCTTAAAAAATATGGATATTAACTGTGGTGTTCTTGGAAAACTCAAGCTACTTCTTGGCTATGTAAACTACACTTGCTGTTCCAACTGGGTAACATACTCTTCCTTGTCCTTGGCGGCGTCTAGAATTCGCTTTGAAACAGCTGTTCACTTTTTCCAAAACGTGGGCAAGAGTGTGTAGTGCCAACTCCTGTTCACCTCCACCCAAACCCAGTATTTGGGGTGAAGTCTTGACCTCAGTGACATGGAAGACATTTCTCCCCCCCACCTTTAATAAGCACTTCTAGATCCTTATGTGTTAGGTGCTGCAAAGTGCAAAGTGGTCTTGATTGATACAAATACTTTTGTAGAAAACAGCCTAAATATTTACTGCTACTGTTTATCTCTGGAGGACAACCATGTCCCCTTGCGTGGTGGTCAGCTTCCCTGCGTGTTTCCTCAGTTGACAGAGAGGTGCTGTGGTTTCTCATAGCTCTTCGTCTCTTCTGCCTGACATACTCACCTGCCTATGAATTGATAGATATAAACCTGTCTTTGCAGAACTCCTGCGGGCTCCTGAGAGAGAATGTGAGGGCACATGGCAGAACAATGTTACTGAGTTCAAAGGCCAGTTTATTCAGAAATGAGGAACGCAGTTACAGATTTGTAGCAACTTCAGGGCTCAATCTTGCAAATACTTGCAGAAGTAAACAGTGTATGAGAGTAATCCCCCTTAAATGGATCTGTTCTCAGGATCAGGACTTAATCTGTTGACATTAATTTGAAACAATGAAGATTTGTGTAACTGAAGTGGCTTTCTAATTAAACATAAATAAGAAAATTTAAAGTACACGTGCTTTAATTGAGTATTACATTGCCTTAACTCAGAAATTGGCATAGAGAACTTGTTTGTTTCTTAAATCTAGAGATTTTTTTATGTAGTATCAGGAGCATTTATGTGTTTGTGATGATTCTGATATTGTCAAACTAGTATTAATTGCTTTATTAAAAAATCTTTCCTTGGAAATTTTTCCTTTGAAGTTTTTCTACTTTCCTGTGCAACCTGTTGTAGGGAACCTCCTTTGGCAGGGGGATTGGACCAGATGATCTCCTGAGGTCCCTTCCAACCCCTGCCATTCTGTGGTTCTGTGAAGTGAATACTGCTGAGAGGTGCCAGATTGGGCGTCCTTGGACCCTCTGTAGCTCGTACCAGGCAGGGGCAGGGCGTGTTTCCAGGCCGCGCGCTGCCAGCGCTCGCGGCTGTTCGGCAAGGACTGTCCTCACCTCACGCGAGGGACCCGCTCGCTGTCTCACGTTTGCCATCGCTGACCAACTGTTGAGAGTGTGCTAAACTCGTACTGGGCTTTATCATGTGAGTTTCTGACATGGGTGGGAATTGGGTCAGTTTGTTCCCAACGTCAGTTGTGGGACAGAGCTGTTACTGGTGAGCTGGCTTGTGTTGCACCTGGCAT